TTAGGACTTCATGTTAAATACTCTTATACCAGGATAGAATTAGATTCTCCTCTTCTACCAGCACAGACTTGGCCTCATCTGAAAGGTGCTTTTACCTGCATTTATTTTACAAGTGACCAAACCCTGAGCACTACTATGCCCCTGTGAGCTCATCTTCTATGAAGTATTTTGCACCAGGACTTCTGCCCTGTGAAGAACAACACCTACAAGCAAGTCACCATCCCAAGGCAAACATGAGACTGTGAATACGAGGGTTTTGCTCATGCTGAGGGATCTCTCAAGTCATTCCTTGTCTGGGTAACCTGCTGTTGTGGGTGGGACAGAGTAAAAGGAGCCTTGGGGTCTGGGCTTTACTCTTGTGTGGCACTAGCTGTGGGTGCTGCTGTGCCTTTCTCACACTGACCTTGATTTTGTAGAATCACAGAAGCATTCAGGTTGGAAAAGACCTTTCAGATCACCAAATCCAACCCTTCACCCAGCCCTGCCAAGGCCACCACTGCCCCATGTCCTTCAGCACCACATCTACAGGGCTTTGACAACCCTGAAGAAATTGTTCCCAATATCCCATCTCAACCTCCCCTGGCACAACTTGAGGCCGTTCCCTCTTGTCCCATCCCTTGTTCCTGGGGAGCAGAGCCCGACCCCCCTGGCTCCAACCTCCTCTCAGCAGCTGCAGAGCCAGCAGGTCTCCCCTCAGCTCCTTTGCTCCAGGCTGGACATCCCCAGCTCCCTCAGCTGCTCCTCCTCACACTTGTGCTCCAGATCCTTCCCCAACTTTCTAGACCAGCCTTGATTTCTAACAAATCCCTAAGAATAACTAACATGGGAACCTACCACCTGGACTAAAATAAACCAAGCCATTGAGGGGTGTAAATCACCATCCTGGGTACTGGGTAGTGCATCCTTGATCCCAAGGGATGGTTGTTTCCTCTGGGATACTTTGGGGTAGTGGTGAAGAAAGTCTTTGCCTCCACTGCTGAGACAGTCCCATTTAGGCTCCCACTTTGTCTTTACATGCTCCTCAGCCACTGAAGAGTGGATGGGGAGCAGGGCTCCATCTTTCCACCTGTTCTTACTTCCTCCAGGATCAGGTTTGAGAAAGCATGTGACTATCTGTCTATCTACAGCTGTTATATCACAGAATCATAGAGTCTTAGGGAGTTCTGGTTCCTTGACCCACTGGACAAATGTCCTGGTGCAAGGACAAATCCAGCACTTAACTTTCCACAGGGTTTTCCATCAGCAGGAGAGCCAATGAAGCCTCTATGGATGTGTGACTAGAGTTTCTCTGTCCTCTTCCTCTAGTAAAGGTTGGTCTGGCACAGGATTGAGCTTTATCTCACCTAGGCATCTTGCTCCCATTAGACTTAAAAAAATTAAGACTAAGTTACATCCCACCTCTGCTAACACCTGCACTGCAGAAACCACCAGCTGGTTAAACTCCTCTGGCTGCAGTTGTATCCAAGGGAGAGGAAAAGGCATCTTGACACCACAATTTGTCTCATCCTAAGCAAAGTATCCAGAATAGGTCAAATGAGTCACATCTTTAAGAACTCCCCATAGAATGATGAAGGGAGGTTGGGGTGAATGTGACTGACTGATCAGCTATTGGTGTGAACGTTGCTCAGAGAGGCAGCTGGACCTTCAGAGGTCCCTTCCAACAGGCATCTCCATGGTGCTATGACTAGCTAAGATGAAGGCACAGACATCTGAGACAACCAAAGGTACATTAATCCTTGTCCCCCATCTCTGAGGAGCCTCCAGCAATGCTCTCTGGGCAGGTCTTTGCTAAGGGAAGGGTCACCCTGCCATAAAACACACAGTGACCCCCCAGGATCCCCAGGTAAAGTAACTCAGTTGAGCTCTACTGCACACCCAGCAGAAGACACAACCCACACAAGAATTGTGTGGGTGGTTAGAGTTTCATCTCTTGTTGAACAACCAGCTGCTTAAAGAGACTCATTAGCTATTGAAACTGTTAATTGTGTTAAAACCCCAGGTGATGGCATCCTGTGCTTGCAGATGTGTATCACAAACCCAAGAGTGAGCTAAATTATTTAGCTGATAAATAGACTGTGGAAGTATTGGGGAGCTTAACTGATTTAAAGAACAATCTTTGCAGATTATTCAAGCATGGAGAAACAGCTGACACCATTTGGCACATACATAGGTCCTGTTATTTAACAGTCTTGGTTATTTCAGCTTCAGGACACTGGTGGGATAAATGTTACTCATTTTTAACTAACATAGAAACTACCCTGCAGACAGATGGAAAGATGTGTTTGGACTCACACAGACACCAGTAACAGCTGATACAAAAGTTTCTGATTGCTGAGCCCATACTAAGTAAAGCTGGGAGTCTTTTTTCAGTCTTTTTTCAGTTGAGAAATTCACTTATCCCTTAAAAGCATAATCAGCCAACAGCCTAAGTAGCTCAACTGCAACACGTTGCAAATCCATGTCAAATAGGAAAAAAAAGAGTCAAAATATTTCACTGTTTTCAGAAGAAAATAGATCACTTCATTTTATCATGACTGTTCATTTTGGAATATATTTAAGTGCTCATTTTTTTAATAAAATTCCATTCATTCTCTTCTTAAGTTGAAACATGTTTCATGTCAATTGAAAGTGATTTCAGTTCCCCACCAGTGTTTTGTTTCCACTTAAAATTTGCATTAATAACACTTTGAATTGCCCCCAAATTCTGATTTGTCTAATGAGTGAATCAAAAAGCCTTTCTGCTCAACCATCTACAATCCCCTTTTCAAAGAGAATTTGCCCCAGAATGCTTCAGTCTGTGGATTTACAGTGAAGTTTGCTGGTTTCTCTGGGTTTCAGACCTCCCTCCTGAGCTGCAAAATTAGAGATTAGACCTTGCAGAAGTTTCTCTTCCCCCTTCTAGTTAGCATTGAATGATTCTCAGGTTTGAATAGGGCAATTAATAAAAGGAGGGGGAAATCAGAGGCAGCATATTTTGTAATCATAAAATAAATGAACTTTCCCCGTGTTTATATTATGTGTATAATACAGCAGGAAGTAAAGATCAAAGCCATGTTTGTAAAGAGCTTGGCAAGTTCTGTGCTTGGAGGAAGCAAATGGGTTCCCTGGAGGTACCTAAAGAAAAAAATCTGGATTTTTAACTGTTGTAAATCAGTGTCTCTCTTGACTTGAGTGCAAGGGTGATGACTTACATCAGTGAGAAGTTGGGTCAAGAGCTTCAGAGGAGGATAAACATGGCAAAACAAGATAAAATATTTTTCCTGC